ATTGCAGTTCTTTGTACGCCATGCTTCTCAAGATGTATGGCATCAAAAGTCTAGATACCCTAAACTAAGGGTTTAGAGCTTAGGGTTTACCAAACCTTAACCCCCAAAACCCTAAACCCGGAAGTTCAACATCCCCACACTACATACTGAGCCCCAAACTTCGTGTTGGCTAGGGGAAGATGAAATGTCAGAGTGGATTGAAACCCTAAACCCTAGTGATACATAGTCTGCCGAAATGGCATGCTTGGCCTATCCTCACCCTACTATGGTTTAGGGTTCGGGGTTTGCGGATCAGGGTATAGTAGTCTTAAGCCTGCGCATTCACCCTCAATCCTTCTTAACCACAAGATAGATTTGCCATTCAACCCTTTTACTCAAGACCATGGACCCTAAACCCTAAACCCTAAACCCTAAACTTAATGGTCCGGGTCCTCGGGCTGATTGTTTAGGCCTTGCCCTAAGGGTTGAAGCATCCAACCAGACACTTACCCAAATCTGTAGTACAACTACTGGTACTCAAGCCCTAGGTACCCAACTCTTGGGTACATGACAACATTCAAAAAAAAAAAAAAAGGTGCCCCAACAAAGACCCCAAAATACTGTACTTCTTATTATGGGAACTCCCTAAAATGGTATCCCTAATTTTGGGAAAGCCCTACATGGACTTCTCAGGGTTACTCGTAGCCTCCCAGCACTGCCTGTCCCCCAGCGGACCACTTCTTACCATGAGCATGTCTCCTACTTGGGCAGAGCCGACAATAAATTGTAACTATATAAAGTCCCCCTTAAATAGATAGAATATGGGGTATATGGGGGTCTTATTACAATATATCCAAAGCCATATTCTATCTACTTAAGGGGGACTGTAGCATTATAGGTCTAGGGGGAGTACCGATGAAGGGGTGTACCTTTCATCATGCTACGAGCACTAATGTGATTAGCAGGTATATCCCTGGTCGGGGCTCCCTGGATTGAGGGCCCGGTAAGGGGTGTAGGGTTGGGAGGTTGAGGGTCTTGTTTACCAGTGCCAGGCTTCTGATGTTTCAGTCGCGATTCCTTGTGTTTGTAGTGCAGTACAGTAATACATGCGAAAGTTCCCGTGCTGGAGCGCAGGGGTTCCTGTGGTAAGTATACTGTAAGCTTCAGAAAAAGAGTTCTGGTTCAGGGAGTTTCAACAACCTGGACATGTTCTACCAGAGCTGAAGATCTGAGGAATTACTACTATTACTATTACTATTACTATTACTATTACTACTACTACTACTACTACTACCACCACCACCAGTGCTACTCCGCTTCCAACTCCGACACCTACCTCTCTCACCGCTGCTATAGTTATTGTTCTGCTTCGCTACCAACCAAATGCTTTCGTGGGCCAGGTCTCTGACGATGGAGTCGATTATGAGACAGTCTACACAATGCAGGCTCAGCTATATGAGCTCTTGACAGTGCGGCTTTAATGTTGAAATGTGAGCGGCCAAGAGAGCTACGGACTGTGACGCACAACAAAAACGCTTACTGCATAGTTTGGGTACTGCCCGACCCCCGTAAACCCTAAACCCTAAACCCCTAGTAGTTTCCATTTTCTTTTCCATTATCCCAATATTATGAACACCTGAGCCTCCTAAAGCTCTCCTGGGTTGACGCGCTACCCAACTGTCAGTAGTTAGTGGTTGCATCTGACACCGAGTCTTTTTTCTGGCGGAGTACTTCAGATGGTTCTAAGTGGGGGCTTTAGGGTTTTAAGGTTTAGGGTTTAGGGTTTAGGGGGGGTTACAAGCAGGACAGGCGTAGTCACGTCTGTCATTGACAGACTTACAGCCCTGCTTAACTGGCTATATCTCCAGGTTGCAACGTATTTCTTTTGGGTACCGAGTCTGCTTGTATCAGCTTGACATGAGGTACCACAAAAAGGAACTACAGTACCGCGACAAATTTGATAGACCCTGTAAAGTCTGAACATCATGCTTTACTCAGTCAGAGGCTCAAACCCTGGCACTTACGCTTTGGAAAGAAAGCTGAACCCACAATAAGACATCTCACCTTGCATCCCACGCATTCTCTTTCTAACCTTTTCTAGACATTTGCGACCTCATGCCATTGAAGCAACTCGCTTTGAATTGGGCATGAACTACCTAGCTGTAGCTATCATGGCTTGGACAGGCCTGTGAGGTTACTACTATATGTAAGACAATGTAAGAGTTAGGGTTTAGAGGCTTTAGGAATTAGGGCCAAGGTTTAGGGTTTAGGGAGAGTAGTGGCGTGCTAGTCATTTCTGAGTCCGCCTAAGCAGGGCAATCGCCAGAATGACCTTTGGGTGATACAGCGCTTCTCCGGACGTTCCTTGATTGCATCGCAGATTGTCGCCTCAGTAATAGCAGGAGGCTATATAAGTTCAAGCAAGGTTATATCCGCATGGTATTTTTTTCCGAGGCTTGTTAGGTGCAGTCAGAAGGAGTGGGGGAACAGACCCCTACCACAGCCCCTGCATAATCCTGTGTTTGTCGCTCCCCTTTCACAACCAGTAAGCTGGTTGCATCCTTAACTAAAGTTTAGGGTTTAGGGTGTATATATAGGGGATTATATTGGGATAATGGAAAATACAATGGAAACTACTATGTTGTCCCATTGCTTCAGGGGTTTGGGGGCTGTATTTGTGTGTTGTTGGAGTTTTCCGCAAAGCTGCATGAATTAGGCTTGTTTTTGTGAGGTCTAGTGTAAAATGAAGGTCGAGACTGTAGCCGGAATGGTACTTAAGGTAGACATTGTCTTTTGAAACTTGTAAGTCTGCACAAGCATGCTGAGTAATACTAACACGGGTGAGTGTATCTTAGGGGCGGTCCCTTTGGAAGGGCCTATAGGTCCTAAGCAAAGTTACTACGCCATGTGTGCTGTCAGCCTCTGACGCTTTCGATACTGTATCGTTCTGTCGTAGCCCTCCAGGACACCAAAGTCATTGCCAAAGCCATGTTATCACTCGGTTGTCGTACCTGAGGCACAATATCTGGTCCAATCCTGCATGTCTTTGAGATACTAGAAAATTCCCCAAGGTATAAGGTATTACAGGTCATGCAGGATTTTCCCATAAACGCTATGTTTTCAGAAAGACCCAAACCTTACAACCTGAACCCTCGCCAACAAAAACCCTACACCCTGAGCCCTGGCTAAGCTCCAAACGATTGGAGCCTCAACGCTAACCATGAGTTTTGGTTTAAGTTTTGAGGCAGGTCGACCCCTTGAAGGGCATTTTTGAGTTGAAATAAACCCGGGCCTAAGGGTCCTAGTGAATAAATGGTGGATGATTCAGGCCCCAGGTACCTACATAGGAACCCGTTTGGGCCCAGACACTGTGCTCTTTGTGTACTTGGCCTTTGCGGTTCGTGTGTTCCCTAAACCCTCAACCCGAAACCCTACACCCTATTAACGGAAAGGACACCTCAAGGACCTGATTACAGACTCCAAGTCTGTTTGGGGATAATGGAAAAGAAAATGGAAACCCTAGGTCCCTTCAAAGGGATATATAGGATATATATATAGGGGTTACATAGATAATGGAAAATAACATGGAAACTAATGTATCATAGTATACTGCTGAGACTTTGCCGTCTTCTGTCTTCTTGTGCTTTAACTTTCGGTGCTCGCACAATGTACTATTCACGGACTCTTCTTCTGACAGCCTATTCTCAAGACAGGGCTTGAAGTCATGATTCGAGCGGAATACATCATATCAAGATATGTGCGCACCAAAATCTAAGGCTCCAACTCTTAAAAATCGGCCAAAGGAACCACACAAGCCTTACTGTGCTTCTTAGTATTAGTAGGATTAGTAGGGAACAACGGAATAGAATCCTTATACGATAACGCTGGATACTAAAAGTTCAGGATGACCCTATATACCTCATACTTCGGGAATAACGTATCATGGTATATCGGGGTCATGCAGGATGTTTATCAATCAACGGTATATTTCCTTATTCCCTACTACGAACCAGTAAGACAAGCATAAGGATTTCTTGACCAGCTTCCCAATATTCGCCAAGAATCAGAAAGCGCACAAACTCGAGGATCCTCATGTTAGTGGCTTTGGGTCTAGGGGCTTAGGGGTTTTGGGCCTTTGAGGCCGAGGGGTTTAGGGGGTTTAATGGTTTCGGGTTCTGGTTCGTTAAGGGTTTATGGCGTGTTGTTAAAAGAGCCTTCAAATCCTTAAACTCCCCTCACAGTGTCCAATTCTCGATGCAACCTGTGCTTTGGAGCCCCATGTGCTCCATAGATACTTTGTGGCCAAAGCACTTGTCCTACCATGAGGGTACCAGGACACTCAGAACGTCACAGCCCTCTACTGCATGCCTGAAGTGAGATCCAGGTTGGGTGCGCTTCCTGTTCACGGCCACGCTAGCCAATGCCTTCTACGTCCGCACTCTCAGGCGCGAGCGTTTTTCCTGACCACAAAATGGTACTCTCCCAAAATAGGTGGACCCCAACATAGACCCAAAATATTATAATCCTTATTATAGGGACCCCGAAAAATGGTACCCCTAAGTTTGGAAAAGCCCCATTCCGGCCCAAGTACCCACTGACATCAAAGCCACATGCCCCACATACCTGTATTTAAGGGTACAAGGAGACTCCGGGTTCTTTTGAGACAGCAGAGCTGCAGTCATTTAAGACAAATTTCATGCCCTGGTCCTGCTTGAGGCTCAAGATCTAGCAGGATCTGGTAGTTTCCCAAAATAAGGAGACCCCAATATAGACCCAAAATACTATAATTCTTCATCATGTGGACCCTCAAATAGGTATCCCAAAATTGAGGAAACCCCCATCTGGCCCTTGCAAAAACATTATGCGTTAGACCCAAACTTTGCATTTTTTTTGGCTAATCGCTATCCATTGAAAAGGCTATTGTATGTAGTGAGTTGCAAACATAACGAGCTTTAGGATCACCATGACTGTCATCACTCGTATTCGTACTAGTTTCTTTGGTCCCGCATGAAGCAGTGCCAATGTACGAGCCGCGGCGATATGCAGAATGGCTGCATAGCGAAGTCTTTCTACCAGTTGTGGTTGTCATCGGCAGCGAAGCAGCGAAAGCCCGCGTGAAGGAGGCAAATGGTCTGTCTATTGCGGAGCTATTCGCACCTTTCGGCGGGCATTTCCGGGGGATTTCTGTATCAGCCCAGTCCTTGGAGAGACAGATCCCCATCGAAAACTTGCGGGTGCGCTACACAGATGCAGACGTGGCGCAGCTGAGCACTGCGCAAGCGGACCAGATGGCCGCATGGACTGTAGAATCCAGTGCTTTGGCAGGCAAGCCTAACAACCTTGAACCCCCAAGCCCGTGGTACGAGCAGTGGCGCAACGCCTTGTTTGGTTCTCTGCGATGGTCCGAGCATGAAGCATTGGATCAGCCTACAGCGGCATTGCTCGTTGTGCTATCCAAAGAACCGGATCCGGTGATGCAGTTGGAGCAATTGCTCCATGCATCCAAGATGCCACCGTTGTGTACTCAAGGTGTCCTGGACCCTGTTCCGTCACGTGTTGCTGTGCTGTTGCACGACGTGTCAGATCCAGAGAGCCCCAGCAAAGAAGACTTCTTGAAGAACCTGGAGAGCATCAGGGTTCGGTTCGCTCCGAATCTTGTTCTTGCTCTTGAAATCAATCACGGCGGGGCGCGGGCCTCAAGGTGAATGCACAGCTGGAAGTGGTAGTTTTTCCAAATGAAGGTATCAGATAGGCCCCCGAATACCATTATCCTTACTGTAGGGACCTCCCAATATGGTAAGTACCCTTGATTTTGGGAAACCCTTATCCCCAAATCCTAAAAAGCCCCTATATACCCTTACATAACCCCTATATACCCCTTTATACCCTTATATACCCCTATTTACCACTGTATAACGACCCTAAACCCTTCGGCATTGTCAAGCCTCTGGAGGCTAACTTTCTGATGCCAGAGGCTGAGGCCATGTCTGCACCAACACAGACTTACTGGTTCTTATGGGAATATCTCATACAAGGCGAATATGCGAATATCTTATACAAGGATAAGATGGGAATATATTATCTACGGACTACATGGGACTGCATTAAGTAAGGATTATATCGGAAAATGCGTTAATGATGAGGATTTTGTAGTGATTTGATTCTCTTATTCCCTGCTAAGATTCCCTGCTAAGAGCCAGTAAGCAGAACTAGAGTGAGAAAGTGTTGTGGGGCACTGCGGCAGGATTTGTTCAAATCCTTTCTGGTGCAAAATGGGCCCCCTCCACCTCCGTCAGTGCAGGCCTTGGACCTTGGAGCTGTGTATAAAACTGTATATAACCCTACAAAACCCTATATAGCACAATAGAAATTCTATATAACCCTACGTATATGAGTTGGTAGCAAGAAGGGAGTTCTTAAGCTACGGTAGAGAAGCAAATGGAATTTTTGGCAAGCTGTGCTGGGAGAAAGTGCGCATGAATGCGCTGTGCATGATCAGAGAAATTTGCAAGTAGCATATCCGCAGTTGCACAAAACAGCGTCGGTGAGGTCCCGGGCTAGGATCCGCTCATCACGCATTATGTAGGATAGGACCCTACGCAGATTGGATAGGGGTCGGCCCCCAAAAGACAGACATGGGTTTAAAATATTAGTTTAGCATTATCCGACACCTTTTAGGGACCTACATCCGGAAGTCTTCTAGATACCTCGGTATAATTTTGGGTGATTTGAAGAGGTCTGTAGGAATCTTGCTGACTTGGCTGTTCTTGCAGCGACCACACAGCCCTAAATGAATGATCGTGTTTGGGCTTGTCTAGGATTTAGGGCTTGGCGGTGCTTAGGCTCTTGGGTGTGGAGTTGCTTACCTGAATCCTGAGCCCTAAACGTGTAGAGTTTCGAGTTGGTTGCAGTGGGGGGATTTGGGCTTGTCCAAGGCTGTTCTGTGTTGTGGCTTTGAGTTGTGTAGGGTTTAGGGATTAGGGCTGTGTAGTGTTGTTTACAATTTAGGGCTTGGAGTTGTCTAGGGCTGTAGAGCTTAGAGCTCTTCAGGCATGAGGGTTGTTTGGGGTTGTTTAGGGCTTGGGTGCTTCAGGGGTTAGAGCTGTTTCGGGTTTACAGTCAGGGATTTGGGTTGTTCAGGGCTCTGGTTGCTTTAGGGTTGGGAGCTGTTTGGGGCTTGAAGTTGTTAAGTGTGCAAGATTTCGGGTAGTCTTTGGTTGCTTGGTGTTGTTTAGGATAGTTTTGGGTTTGGGGTTGTTAAGGGTTTGGGGTTGTTTGTGGTTTGGGGCTGCTTATGGTGTTTGAGTTGGGTGTTTGTAGTCAGGGTTGGGAGTTGCTTATGGTTTGGGTTGTTCAGAGATTAGGATTTGGACTTGTTTTTAGGTTTAAGTTTGACGGGGTTATCTAGGATTGCTGTGGGTTGTTTGAAAATCTTTCGGGATTGGGGTTGTCTAGGGTTCAGGCCTTGGGCTGTTTAGTTGTTTCAAGGTTTGGTTGTGAAGCAGAGCTTAGGGCTTGGAGGTAGTTCGGGCCTGGGCTATCTACCGTTACAGGGCTTGGAGTTGTGTTGTTTACGGTTTAGAGTTTAGAGGTTGGTGGGCTGTTAAGGATTTAGGGTTCAGGGATGTCTGAGGCTTGCGGTTGTCTAGGTTTCGGGCTCGGAGCTTCTTGGGGGCTTTACGTGGATTCCAAAAAGCATTCCTTGGGTGTGGCCCTACCTGATCAAGGGTTTCTCAGCCCCTATGCAAGAGGGCGTCTCTCCCAACTAGCTGTTGCCGGAGTCAGAGATGTATACTAGAGAAGCGTGATCCTTCTAGAAAGTTGGCTTTATGCCACCCAACCAGTGAGGCTGAAGACATGTAGACTTGTTCTCTGTTTATGTCCGGATTTCTCAGGCTTGCTGGCTGCTCTCGGAAAATCTTATAGTATTCTTGAAATGGGTACACCCAGCAAGGGGCTTCTATTTTTTGCCAAGCTCTGTTAGGATCCGTCACGGTTGTTGCCGGGATGTAAAGCAAACCTGCAGCGCTCAACATGGATGACAATGAGGCTAAGAACAGTTTTCACTGTTGCTGTGTTCGGGATTGGATTTGCCAGGAATGTCGGCGATTTTGTTTTAGAGCGGGGGGGTGAAGGGGGGGGTGGAAGCTTTTGCCAGGAAGTGCTCTGGCTTCTATTATGACATGAAGCAGACATGCACTGGTCAACATGGATACGGCTGAGAACATTGTTCGTTGCTGCTGCGTTTGTGGCCGGATTTGCCAGCCATTTGAGTTGCTTTTACAAGACCGGGGGGGGGGGGTTGGGATGGGGTGCGTAGCCCCCACCCAGGGGCAAAAGCTGAGCCGGAATAAGAACATGTACATTCTCGCTAAGCTTTGCCAGGATGAGCCTTGTTTTTGTCGGGGTATAAAAAGCTGAGCTAAGCTGCTCCACTTGGTTGAGGCTAAGAACATGTAGATTGTTGCCGTGTTTGTGGTTGGATATACCGCGCCAGCAGGAACCGCATCGTTCCACCCACTCTCCATGCACAAGTAACAATGTACACGTTTCCTTCCGTCCTTACCGATAGACTGCTGCCTGTTTCTCACACGCTTGACTGCCTGAGGGGACAGTGTCACTGCGACCAGACAACTGCCGCAGAGAGCGCAGGTTTTAACCTTCAAACCTACGTACATTTGAATTTGTCATCTTTGAGGCATGTCTCTCTCTCCAGGCCCCTTTAGGATTGAGAGCTTGCCGATTGAAAGGTCAGCAACCACTGTTGCCTGTCAAAAATGACGACCTTCGGGAGAAGTGTAATGGCAGGGGCGGGTAGTAGTAATTGTCATCGCCGTTCTCTGAAATGATAGCAGTGTTGTAGTAGTAGTGGTCGTAGGAATAAGAATGACGATTACATGCATATGACAACACATCATACTCCGGCCGGGCGGGGCTGGGTCGGGCCGCCCAAGAAAAGCGATATGCCTTACAGAAATTGAAAGCAGGGGATGCGAGAGGGAAGACGTTGCCAAGCCAGCACACTTGTATACACGTGCTGCCCACGCTAAGGCTTCCGACGAAGCAAAGCCCAGCCCAGGATCCAGGCTGACTCGTGAAGACCTTCAAAGCTTGGCTCAGGCCATGGTGGGAGTGCCCCGGAACCCTGGAGCTATACAGGGCTTATAGGGGCTCATGGGGGCGATTATTAGCATTAACGACTATGCGATTACTTTGGGCCTTTGTTGCTCCAGGTCGGAACAGAAGTTGTGGTCAAGAGCGCTGTGCCGTGGATGGAAAAACAGCTTCAACAACTGGAGGCAAGCTTAGGTCTTGCAGCTTTGCTGCTCGCAAAGAAGGGCACTGTGACCCGAAGGCTCAAATCTCGCAAGCTCGAAAGGCAGACCGGTTGTTCGGTTTGGCTGGGTCAACTTAAAGGGTTATCAACCAGCGGGTCTCATATTTGCCGTGTTCGCAGGGCTTCCGCAACCAGTTGAAGTACTTCTGGCGCAAGCCACGCGAGGGAGCCCGAGCCTCAATGTGGAGAAGTCTTTGGTGTTTTGCACTTTGCACTTTAATTCCATCCAGACTCATGTGTTGAAGTGCTCTGAATGACATTAGATCATGATCCGGCACATTGGCAAGCACTTGCCTTCAGTAAGCCAGGCAGCCGGTGAGAGGAGAACTGGCCTCAGATTGCCCTCAGACCGAATGGTTTGCTGTCATGGGTTTGTCCATCCAACTCTACCGCAGACTTAAGTACGCAGGCGAGCTGCCACGCTCTGTTGTCCCGTGACTCTTTGCGGCTCAAACAGAATGGCCACGGCCACATTCTTTACATACCCCGATATCGAACATCCCTTGCCGCGGCCTCACTTTAGCAACATCCACTGATGTGCGTGTGCTATGATCTGAGCAGCTAAGTCGTATCGTCAACATGTGGCCGGGAGCGATCACCCAACTTGCAAGGGCCCTCACAGCTTCTGAAGGTGTTTTCTTGTTTCAAGCGGTTGCTTCAATGATTGCGCAAGCAAGGCTCTACTAGGTCTCTTCACGTTTTTCGAGTTTGCTGGGCACTTAATGCTTAAGTGCCTCGAAAGCCTGAAACTGCAAAATGTCTTTGCGTCCCGCATGCCTAGGCAACACCCGTGGCTGGCTTAGCCAGGCAGGATTTCAATCTGTCATCGGTCACTTGTTCACGTTGGTAGCTTCGGCTTCACGAGGACTTGAAGAAGTCCTGCCCCGTAGCTATTTGCTGTGTACGGGGCCGGGGGGGGGGGGGGGGGGNNGCGGGGAGCAAAACAATGCAGCGATGGGAAAAACGCACAGGTCGCAAAGATCGCACAGTGCCATGGCAGAACCCAAGCGCTTCAGCTTGTCTTCCGAGGTTGTATATGAGCCAGCGCCACGCATTTAATGGTTGAAGCCCACTGGGCCTCCTCCTTTGCAATGCTGAAGCTCTGAAGCGTGAAGGAGAGGGAAGTGTAAATACAAAGGGCAGAAATGCGCTACTCTCCAAAAGGATGATATGGGGGCTTGTCTCGTCCCTCTTAAGGTACCGCAGAAGATGTATTCGGCCCACATCATACTAGGGACCCACAATCAGGGATCATGCCTCTGACAGCCCAAGACCACAAAGAGCCCACGAAGGTTTGTTTTCAAAGGCTGTGCTTGATCGTGCTTGTTGGCGGTTCTTGTGGTAGGCCCAAAATCGCGCCAATTACGATGATGGCTTGTTTATCCGGACGCTCTGGCATAAGGCTTCAGAAGTACTGTGGAAAGCGCCGCAAAGTCATGGAGAGCGATGGAGAGGGCCCGTAACATGAATGTACCGGGGGGAAGCGAGGGGGAATTAAGCAAGATAGACTCCTGAACAATCACTGTTGGGTGCAAAGGTCATCCCCCCCAACTGCCGCATCCCTGAGAAACAGGCCAAATTCCTGGCCATTGTCCAATTACCGGAATGAGCAAGTTGCGAAAAGGTGCTAAAGCGCCTGAAGCCTGCCATAGCAAGCCCTCGGCCAAAAAACGATTGTTGATGCAGTGGCAGCGAGTTTTTGCGCACTCCTGCGAGGCCATTGGTGGTGGAAAGAAAGGTTCCGCACCTATTCCCGGGCTGTGTTCATGCTACTGAGTTGTGAGCGGACAGTTGTGCAAGCACAAAGGCAGAAAATGCGCTGGACACGCACCAGCCGCTAGCAGCGCAATGCTAAGCCTTTGGCATCGATGTTGCAGTCCAGGGCGTGTAGCACAGTAGCTTTTGATATTATAGCTGTTATATCGCATTTACTGCTATTGTTGCAGTCATTGTTGTTATTATTACAACTACTTCGACTATCACTCTTACTATTCATTACTTACTATTAAGAATAACCATAGTGGTAATATAATAACTGTAGTAACAATAATCCTGATAATGATGGTAGTAACAATAGTAATAACAAAACAATAATTTCTGAATTTCTAATGATAGTAATGATAGTAATTACTCTGATGCCATGCCAAGGTCAAGATACCCTTGGACAAGCAGTATGTTCCAGTGATCAGGAACAATCGCACTGTTATGTGCCCCAGATTTCATGTTCCGCCCGCACTGTCCTTTGCAAAGACCTTGTGAACTGGGTTATATGTTGGGGTTGCATATGGATAATGGAAAAAAAGATGAAAACTACTTGTAATGAGTTACATAGGGCTTATGGGTTTATGGCCCGACCACAGGTATAAGACTGCCTACTTCGGCAACATCTATGTGGGCCTACCTCGCCCTCAGAAGTTCACAGTGTCTGGCTGAGCTGCTAGGATTCACCAACCGCATCATGTTGTATCACTCCTTGACCTAGTTAGCAAGAACCCCAAGTTGTGACCAGGTAGTATCCTATAGTCCCTCATAGCTTCTGTTTTAGATTACACTATGTAGTCTTTCGTAACATACCTACCTGCTGTGAAACAGCTTGAGCCTAGATTTCAAGTGGCTTATGGCTACTGACCCAAAGATCCCGCGCAGCCCTGCGCAAAGCAATCACTTCGAGTCATGAACTCCCCCACCCTGATAATAGTGGATGTCCTTATTATAGATCAATTTAAGTCATGGGGGAAAGAGTTATGACAAGGGAAGGGCTAGTACGCTGGGGGCACAGGGCCTGCCCACTGCATAAGTTGCCACAATGTTTTTAACAAACGAATTAGGGATTGACAAAGCAAGCGGCATCGTTAGTCCTTCCAGACATTTAGATGCGGCAGCTTGAATAAATAAACACCCTCTGGGCATTTCTAGACTGCGGATTGTGGTACATTATGGTTTTCGTGGGCCCCCTAGTTACGAAAGATCTGAGATGTCTTAAGGCTTGAGAAGGCTACTTGGCTAAACCCTAAACCGCTAAACCATTCTAAACCCTTAACCCTAAACCCCTAACCCGTACCCTAAACACTTAAAATCCTCAGGTCGTCTTCGATACTGGCTCCGGGCATTTCATTGTCCCTTCCAAGAAGTGTGAGGCCGTGACATGTAATACTAGCAATATGAGCTGTAGTCTAAACTCCTTAAATGGCTTTCAAGGGAGTATATTGGGGAGTATGAGAGGGCTTATTAAGGTGAATACTAGGAGTTTAGACTATGGCTCATACGAGAAGTAAGAATAATGGAATAATACTACTAATAGAAAAAGATGATATTAATACATATGCTCGTATGGGTCATAACGATAAAGAGCATGATAGGAATCATAATGCCAATTTATGTCAGTACCGGCTTTCATTTATTGATGTCCTGCTTTATGCTTTGAGTCTCTTCTCAAGCTCATGCATTTCTTGCTGGAAAGCTGCGTAGCATTGACCACCCGAGCATTGGGTTATAAAGGGTATTTTGTTTTAAAGGCCCATGCTCTGAGATCGTAAGCATGTGCAGATGCCTGCCTGTGCGAATCACACCGCCTATGCTGCCAGCTCAGATGAGCTACAGTCTAAACTCCTTGAGGGGGTGAGCTGGGCTTGAACACGTAGCTCAGGATCGCGGTCTTTCCTCTTCTGCAGTAGATCTGGACCACGATGGCAACGTTGTTCCAGCAGATTCTGAGCGGGACCAGGCCGAAGTGAAAGTCTGAAGGCAACCAGAGTGTACTGGACGATTCTGCCCTGCAAGGTGGCCATCGCTTATGGGACCGGAGAAGTTGTTGGCGAATTCTCGCGCGAGGAGCTGCCGTGGTCATTTGGATGCTATCTAAGCCTATTTAGCCCTCTGTAACCCTATATATCTCCAGATATATCTCCCCATATATCCCTATAATCCTTATGTAGTACCTATACATCCCTACATAATCTCCCTACACCTTATAAGTAGAAGTATACCCTAGGCGGGCATACGGTATGCTGCTTTGGAGGCCGTTTGCCTGTCCAACTACGAGGGCGAAGTTGAGGAGGCTGCGCTGAAACACCCTGATTGCCTCCAGGCACGATGCAGCAATATCAGATATCGTTAGTCTTGCTATGTTGAATACTATTGCTTGTACTTGTATTTAGCATTCCTGCTTTGAATATGAGTGTTCTTATCATGTTGTGTATTTGTGGGTTTTTATTTTGGTGGTCTTGCCTCTCGTGCTGTTATTGTGACAAGAATCTTAGTACCATTGTCATCACAATGACTATGTGGTACTTTCCCAAAATAGGGGGACCCCAATATAGACTCCAATATACCATTATCCTTATCATGGGGACCAAGGGTACCCTAATTTTGGGAAGCCCTAATTCCTAAATCCGATATTCCCCTATAAAACCCTTATATAAGCCCTATATAGCCCATATATAACCCTGATGCGATTAACCCTAAACCCTAAGCCCTAACCCTAAAACCTAAAAACCCTGAACCTTAAGTATCTTCAGAAAGTTTGGCTCCAAATTGCACGAGGTGAGGGTCGTGCAGGCTACCGAGATGACTGACGAGCCATTCCAGCAGTTCGAGCATGGATCCCAGAGACGGTGGTGTAGGGCTTATGGCTTAGGGTTTTGAGGTTTTTTAGGGTTTAGGCCTGAGGGTTTAGGGTTTAGGGCTTAAGGGTTTGAGGTTTTTTAGGGTTTAGGCCTGAGGGCTTAGGGCTTAGGGTTTAGGGTCTAGGGCTTGGAGAGGCCCCAAGATAAACCCCCCAATATTGTAAGTCTCATAATAGGGACCCCGACTCTCAAAAAGACAATTTCTAATTTTGGGAAACCTTACACCCTATGGCAACTAATATACTCTAGGTACCATTTCATTGTCCATTGTCTTTTCTATTTGATTCTCAATTATTGGGTTATATATCCCTATATAATCGCCTAAAGCCCCTACAAAATCCCTACATCATCTCTATGTAATCCCCTGTATTCCCCTGTATATACCCTTTACGCTGCCCAAGAGACATCGAGGTTTGACGGAGTGCTTGGATTGGGCTTGGAAAGCTTGGCTCTGGATCCTCAATTCAGCTTCTACGGGCAGCTGACAAGGCAAGGACTATTATTATTGCTATTGCTAGTAGTCGTTTTCGTCCTCGTCCTCCTGCTCCTCGTCGTAGTCGTAGTGTAGTAGTAGTAGTAGTAGTAGTAGTAGTAGTAGTAGCAGTAGTAGTAGTAGGCGTAGGCTAGTAGTAGTAGTAGTAGTAGGAGTAGCAGTAGCAGTAGCAGTAGCAGTAGTAGGAGGAGGAGTAGTGCTACTGT